CTATATGTGCTTAATTAGAATTTTAAGATCCTAAATGCAACCCAAAATCTAGAACATATGTGTAAGCTGAGTGGAACTGCAAAACTCAACATTAATTGTTTTAGATTAAATAGATTAGGATTTGGGGAGATGATCATGACTGCCCATTGTATTTGTAGAAGTGGCTAGAATCTTGAACATGTGTAACTGCCATCACTGTTTACCCCCCTCTGTCTCCTTATCTGTCAAATAAATACCATACCTTGTTACCTTACTCAAAAGTATGTTGAGGACTGATATAGTTTATGTGTTAGTAATTTGAAATCCCCCAATAGAATACTGCTTTTGTATAAAGTTAACCTCAGTTCAGAAAGACTGTGATTTTTGTGAATTTAACTTTTGTGCTAAGCAAACTGTCAAGTTATGAAAGATTTTCTACCACTCCACACTAAATTGCTAAATTGAGTTGATTCTGAGATGCATAATTTCTTTTGCTATATTTGTTTATAGCTGGAACAGATGGTGATCAAAATGGACTTGATCACCCATCTGTTGAAGTTTCCCTGGATGAAAACTCAGGAATGTTAGTAGACGGGTTTGAAAGGACCTTTGATGGGAAGCTCAAGTGTCGGTACTGCAACTATGCCAGCAAAGGCACCGCACGGCTCATTGAACACATTAGAATCCACACAGGTAACGGAGAAGTGGCTGGAGAGGGCATTTCTTTACGGGCAGGTTGATCTATCATATAAATAGTTGTGATAGTTTGAAAATGAAGGTGGATGTAAGGTTTGAATAAATGGAGAAGTGACTCCATTTTTGCACAGCAATAGCATGCAGCATCCAAGGAAGTGAGGCCCCTTGTACAGCTTCCCCTTCCTTAGCCATCTTCCTTCTGAATCTAAATAATCTCAGCATCTGTCTGCTTCTCAGGTTGGGCAGGTTAATGCCGAAGACAGCATGAAGTGATAAAATGTTTTTATCTTTATCCTTACTAAGTACGTTTCCTTTGCAGACCAGGGAAAAGGTTTCTGTACGGTTGCAGGCTACACTGCTAACCCTCAGATGTCACCTTAGCCATCCCTTCTGTGAAAGGGATTCATTCCACTAGTCCGTATAGTATAAAGGTTGTTATATGCAGGTTTATTAATAAATTTTAATAATTTTTTTGCAAATGTGTTATTCTGAAAAAGCATTTTATTTTTTGATCAATTTCTAAATCTAATGAATGGACAAAATATGGAACTTTTCATAAATGAGCTACTCTTGCAGTTTCTCCCCCATTTTTCTTTTTAAACAGGTGAGAAACCTCATAGATGTCACTTATGTCCATTTGCATCTGCTTATGAGCGTCATCTGGAAGCCCATATGCGTTCCCATACAGGAGAAAAACCATATAAATGTGAATTGTGTTCCTTCCGCTGCAGTGATCGAAGTAACCTGTCCCATCATCGAAGGCGCAAGCATAAAATGGTACCAATTAAAGGTACTAGGTCTTCCTTAAGCAGCAAGAAGATGTGGGGGGTTTTACAGAAGAAAACAAGCAATCTGGGCTATAGCAGACGAGCACTAATCAACTTAAGCCCACCTTCCATGGTGGTTCAGAAGCCAGACTACCTTAATGACTTTACCCATGAAATCCCGAATATCCAGACTGACTCCTATGAAAGTATGGCAAAACCCACACCAGCTGGTGGCCTGCCAAGGGACCCCCAAGAACTCATGGTTGACAACCCTTTAAACCAGCTGTCAACTCTAGCAGGACAGTTGTCCAGTTTGCCACCTGAAAACCAAAACCCCGCATCCCCTGATGTAGTTCCCTGCCCTGATGAGAAGCCTTTCATGATGCAGCAGCCCTCTGCTCAAGCAGTAGTTTCTGCCGTGTCAGCCAGTATTCCTCAGAGCTCCTCTCCCACGAGCCCTGAAGCTCGGCCATCACATAGTCAGAGGAACTATAGTCCGGTGGCAGGTCCGAGCAGTGAACCAAGTGCTCACACGAGTACTCCCAGCATGGGAAACAGTCAGCCAAGCACTCCAGCTCCGACCCTGCCGGTCCAGGACCCTCAGCTTCTACACCACTGCCAGCACTGTGACATGTACTTTGCCGACAATATCCTTTACACTATTCATATGGGATGTCATGGGTATGAAAATCCTTTTCAGTGTAACATATGTGGATGCAAATGTAAAAACAAGTATGATTTTGCCTGTCATTTTGCAAGAGGGCAACATAACCAACACTGATGGGAAACAATCACGTTATGCTTTACTTGGTTTGCCTTTTTGTGTTTTGTAGTTTACTGTTGTTTTCTGCAGGGGAGGGGTGGGGGGTGTCGTCCCTATTAAGGTGTTGCTAATTTAAAGTCTTATACATACAGAGTATAAATTTGACAGTGGAAACAAAATTTTTTTCTTTTTTTTTCTTCCATAAAAACCTCATCAGGGTCATTTATGTATTAGAACAGTTGGACACGTTGGTGTCTGTTTTTTCCTTTCATTTAGACATTTGAGAATTGGAGTGCAATGATGATCTTACAAGTGGTCATTTAAATTTCTCACATTTATGGTCCATAAAAACTTCAAGGCTGATAGATACCCTTGATTTCAACATCTACACTGCAGCTAGATGTTATTTCTGCCATAATTTCAAAATGGTAAATTACTTTCTCTTACAAAATCTGTTACAATTTATTTCAATGTTTAGTGGAGGAATTGCCTTTAAAATTGCCATTAATTAAAAACTATTTAGTAAACATAGCTTAGTTGAATCAGTAGTTTAATTTCAACTGATAATAGTAAAGCAATTTCAGTGTAGTAAATCTTTCTTTTTTCCATAAGGGAAAATATAAAACACTTAATTCTTTTAAAATTAAAGTTATAAAAATAGGTAAAAGTTCTGAAAAGAAATGAAACTTAAGACTTTAAATTGAAAATGGAGTTTAATATTTAAAATACCTGCCTATTCAACTTGTAGTTTAAACACACAGCAATTTTCCATTGGATTCTTTTTATTATACTTGTAATTTATTTTAAAAACTACAGGTAAATACATGAGAACGCTAGAAATATCAGAGGATTATCTATGAAGATGCCTTTTTTCCTTTTAATCTGAACTGTTCATTTGAACCTTCATTCTGATGTTACACGGGAGGTTGATAACGATACTGAGAATCTGTTATTCCTTCTATTCCTTTGATGACCAAAGAGGTACAGTGGAAGTCATCCATCTTATTCCTAGGAAATGCGGTCCTTCCCGCCAAAATCTGAAGTTTCCTTTTCCTGCCTTCTATCCATATATTGCCCCATAATTTTCAAGAAAAGGTAGGTATAGAAACACATGGGAAAGTGTGATGGTGAAGTGATATTTACAAAAATGAGAACATATGTCCAAAATGAATTCTGGACTCCTCTTCAGAATTGGCCATTTAAGATATTTTCTGTGAATTCAAGTTGTAATGCTTATTTGCAGTTTTACCAGTCTTTAATGTACAGCAAGAAAACTATATAAAACTGTGAATTGAATCATCATTAGTAGAAGAGGATAAAAAAAGTGTGGAAATAGATATAAAAATGAATTTAAACATGATACTTAATTTGTTTACAAAAATAAAACTTGCTGTATAAATCCACAGTAACTAACTTTGACTAGGAGGCTGTTTTGTGTAATAACTGGCGTACTCTGAGGACAGCTTGGTCAAACAATAAAATACATTGTTACTAACTGTTGGTTTCTGTGTACTTTGCAAAATTTTTATTTTTAATTTGGTTCAAATCTTGAAAGTTACTAATTGGCTTCTTAAGCAAGTATTCTAACTATTAAGCATTATAACTAAGAAGGACTTCTACACTTAATAGTAAGTGAAAGGGTAATGTTGATGGTATAAGTCCACAAAAACCCCCCAGTGCCAAGTTAATGCATCTTCTGCCCTCCCTTCCAAATGCTAGAAAGCCATTAAAATGAGTTCTGTGGTTTAATATCCAATCTAAACGAACCTCCATCGCATTGTTGAAAAAGCAGCATCAAGGAGTTTCTGCAAACAAATCTTGTCAATCTGAGGCTTGTGAATCTAAAGTCTGCAGCCTGTTCTGCTCTGTTGCTTGGAGCACTCGCTGCTCAGATCGCTTTTAGTGCAGCCATTTCCCAACGTGTAACTTGGCCCTCATATGTATATATTGTCAGAAACAAGTTGCTGTCATTTGGAAGCTTTTGTGGTTATTTTTTTCTTCTATTTTATTCTTCATATAAAAGCAATACCACAAAATAGAAAATGAAAGTTTTCATTAAACAAAAAAGAACTCTCATGTTAAAACCAGTCCATTAACTGTATATTCTGGGCCAAATAGTGACAAATACATTTTTTTTCTGACAACTAAAGAGAGATGTTTTGAAAGTACATTTTAGTTCAAACAGATTTTTTTTCACAATTGCAAACTAGAATGTATAATTTTAAAATTCCTAGGACTTAAAGAGCACAGTTGTATTCCAAAGGTATCGATGCTTGAAAGCTGTAGTTAATTCTAAATGCACTAAAGTTTTTGAAGCAGATCTACCTTAGAAACTTTTTTAGTATTGTATTTTTAAAAATGTTTAGGATTTTATTTAAATTTTTTGTGAGTTAAATTCTGTATTGGAAAGATGTTAGTATCTTCTATTAAGTATTGAATATGTTTCTCCCATTTTATTTTTAATCAAATATTTTATAGAAATGAGTTCAGAAAAGTTTAACATACACTATTTATAATACTTTGCTGTTAACAGGCAATGTTCTGAAACTAAATTTATTTTTGTTCAGTGAACATAAGTTTAGATTTTTAAAGTTGGTAGATACTTTATCTCCACTAATATTTTTTTAAGAAACTGTGAAGAGATTAACAGGGAGTAATTTTATTTCAGATTTTATGAATATAGTATGTAGCTACAACTTCTTGAAATTCAAGTAAAGGTTAGACTTTTACTTTGAAAAAATTTCACTGGATATTTTCCAGTGCTATTTCATTTTAGAAATAAGTGTTTGCCATTCATCTGCAGAACTGTTTGACAAAGGGAATATTACTAAAAAATGTTCAGAGATAAACCTCATTTAAGTTCTACAAAAATATTTATCAAATGGATGTATTATTTTTTAAAAAATTCCCTGCTAAGGACTTTTCATCAAGTAGTCTTAGAGGGTATATGGTTTCTAGAACTTGGTTTTGTTAATATGTACTTTGATGTCAAGAACGTATTTTGTATGTAAAACATAAAACTTGAGTATGGTTGCAAAACACACTATTGTTTAGGGATTCCAGAAAGCAGTTTAATGCTGAAATAACTCTATCTAGTATGTAGTTCATATTGTGAATGAAGCTTTGCTTTTGTAATATATGAATAAAAAATAACACTTTCTAATGACCTCGATTTTTCTTTTTTGAAAACTAGGATCCAGTTAGTTTTTTAAATAATTTTCCAGTGTGTAAAATGTTAATTTTTTTTGATTTTATGGCTACCTTGGTTTGGATTTGTAGAGTGCCTTACCCATGAGAAGGTGTTGCATGAGTTAAAAGCAAAAACAGTTCAATAATGAGCATCTTGTCTCCTTCCTAATTTCTTCTCTTTATTTAAGGTGTGACCCCTGCCCCCCCAACTGTTTTGGCACATAAATGAGGAAGGCTTCATGCTTCCTGATGCTTAATTATCCATGTCACATCTGACAAGTGACTGACTGAAGTAGTTTCTGTTATGACAAATGGATCTTTTAGAATGGACTGATTTCCCCCCCCCCCTTTGGCAATGCACATCATTGGCCTAGAAAACAGCCAGTAATACAGAATTGTTTAAATTAGTTTGCAAAATCGTAACCAAAATGGCTTTGATTGGAAATCAAGTTTTAATGCTGCTTTGAAAAATACTTCCGTACAATGTTATCTTTCTCATAATGAAAAAAAGAAATAACATCTGATAAGTCCATGGTTTGTTGAAAGCACAGGTATTTTTTGTTTCCTTGTCTTAGGTCTTCCAAAAACTCTGCTTTGAGCTTGTTAAGTTCTTCGGCTAGAAGTTTCAAGTTGTATGGAAACACCTGTTCACCTAAAATAAAGATATTCTCAAATTATTTGTGTAAATTAAATCAAGCTGGACTGATGACAGCAGGAAATTAATTTGATTACTTCAGACAAACCATTCAGATTCTTCTATAAATCATAATTGAGTTGGTGTAATATACAGACAAAGGTCACATTAATGTGATACAGGCAGATCATTTAAATAACTTGCTGTGACATGCACGAGCAGAAAAGACAAACCTGAAAGGGACTTTTGACAAAATAAGTTGACTTAGTCTTATTGAAATAACAGGTAGTAAGGCAAAAAAGTAGAGCTAGAAAATGACAATTTGGCTTTGAAGCTCTGATAGACAATACCTAGAACAGTTGTCCAATATAATTTTCTACAATGATGGAAGTACTCTGTATCTGCCCTATCCTATCCAGCAGCCACTAGCCATGTGGGTAGTGTGACTGAGAACTGATTTTTTTGTTGAACAGCTTTACAGAGATATAAGTCACATAACATACAGTTTACCCATTTAAACTACAATTTAGTGGTTTTAGTATATTCACAGATATAAGCAACTATCGCCACAGTCAATCTTTGAACATGTTTATCATGTGTACTCTTAGGTATCACCCTCTTAACTCCATTCCCCCTCTCTCTGCCCTCAATCCCTAAGCAACTGTTAATTTACTTGGGGTCTCTAGATTTCCCCATTGTGGACATTTCACATGACTGGACTCATGATGTGTGGCCTTTTGTGACTGGCTTCTTGTACTTTGCATAATGTTTTTAAGGTTCATCCGTGTTGTAGTACTTCATTCCTTTTTGTGGCTGAATAATCCATTGTATGGATAGACCACATTTTGTTTGTCAGCCGATGGACATTTGGGTTGCTTCTACCTTTTGGCTATTAGGAATAATGCTGCTATAAGCACTTGTGTGCAAATTTTTATAGGAACATACGTTTTCATTTCTAGGTCCCGTGGTAATTGCGTTTAATTGTCTGAGGATCCGCTAGGCTGTTTTCCAAAGCGGCTGCAGCACTTTACATTCCCAGCAATGGCGTATGTGGGTTCTGAGTTCTCCGCATCCTACCTCTTGGACTTCTGGATGCTATAGCTGTCCTAGTGGGTGTGCAGTGGTGTCTCATTGTGGTTTTGATTAGCATTTCCCTGATGACTGATGATGTTTTCATGTGGTTACTGGTCATTTGTATATCTTCCCTGAAGAAATTTCAGATTCTTTGCCCATTTAAAAAATGGGGTTATTTTTATTATTGAGTTGTGCGAGTCCTTTATGTATTTCGGATATAAGTCCCTTATGAGATGTGATTTGCAAATATTTTCTCCAGTTCTGTGGGTTGTCCCTTCACTTCCTTGATGGAAGGAGAACTGAATTTTTTTTCCGTTTTTTTTTTTTTTTTTTTTTTTTTTTTTGTGATACGCGGGCCTCTCACTGTTGTGGCCTCTCCCATGGGCCCAGCTGCTCCGCG